TTGTTTCATATGTGGTTATGAAATTGTTTCATATATTACTTAATGAAATTGTTTCATGTATTTCTATAAAATTAAAATAATGAAGATGATAATATTTATGATTAACATCTTCCACAATAAAAATTATTTCAACTATTTGTGGTGACCATGACATTTCTTGTTTATGGTCCAATTTGCTACACGATGTGACCTTAAACTCCATAAAAATTATTTGAACTATTTTTGTCTCTCAATAAAATTAAAACGTATTAGATTTTTATTTATTTTCAATTTATTTAATTCATGTTTATAATCATTATTTGATTTTGTATAGTCGTATGATTTATGGATATAATAAGAAATGAGAATTTAAAACAAGTTTTCATCAATAATAATAATATTCTGTTAAAATTTAAATCTTAGATAATTTTTTAAATTAAACATCGTCACTTTTAAAAGAGAGCAAGATTCATGTAACCCATTAAAACTTGTCATTGTCTGATGTTGATGGAAAATGGAAAAATTGTGTGGCCAATACTAAAGTACACTTATATTTTTCCACCCTTGAACAATAAATGTGGATAATAATTTTGTAAAAGACATAATGTATGATACTAATTGATCTTATATATAGGGACCTAATCAAATAAGAACTAATTAGTTTGTGATAACCGTAAGATCCAATCTCAACCATAAATCAATAGATAAATTAAGAAATTTATAATTTTGGTAATTTTGAATTAAAATTTTAATGCAAATACATTTTGGGTATTTCTCTCCTCTCTTCCCTCTCCGTCCTCCGGTAGAAGAAATCACATTAGACAGAACAAATTGAACAAGTAGAAGATGGCAGTAGAAGAAATCAAACCGCTATAAAGAACACATTACAGCAGGAAATCGAACAAGCAGAAAAATTAGACAAGCAAAAGTAATTGAACAAGCAGAAAAATCGAACAATTAGAAGATGGCTATGGAGAAATCGAGTAAAGGAAAGCATTACCTTTTGCGGAGATCAAGTTTTCAGATTTTGGCGTCTTTGAAATCGAATAGCAGAGTGAAGGAGACGAGCGGCTAGGGTAGAATTTTTCCAAGGGTAGGCGTGTGTTTCTTGGCCTGAAGCACAGAGTGAAGGAGACGAGCTGCTAGGGTAGAATTTTTCCAAGGGTAGGCGTGTTTAAGAGGGATTAAGTGAAAAGATTACCACTTAACATTTCAGAGGAAACATAGAGGAATAAGCTCTTATTTGAACAAAAAAACAAACCCTCTTAATACCACAAACATCTCACCGAATCAGACTTCAGATGAATTAAGCTCTTAATACCAAAAAACAAACAGGGCCTTGCTTTACATAAAATAGAAAATGACAAAAAGAACTACAATATAACTAAACAACTTAGCATTCAAGGTATTAATGGCTACAAGATCTACCTGTTACTAGTTAAAATATTAAAATATGTAATAATAAATTATTCTTACACTGAATAAAAAATATATTGACCTTTGAGATATGAAAAAAAATTGATTATTGAATGAAACATAATAATACTTTGTTTCTGTCAGAAACTAAATGCCATTAAGCAAAGGTTTTTATTCAACTTGAGACAAAATGCACACATGTAGTTGGGTTAATACACTTCAATCCAATCCACCCTCCTTCCTTATCAGTTAACCAGCATAAGCTACCAAAATGAAAAGGGAAGGGAAGCAATTAGATGATGGTTTGAACCTCACTCATACCGATCAACCGGGTGGCCATTTCATCTGTCTTCCGCCAAGAACGTGCAAGTGAAGATGGTAAACCGATTGACCTACACCCACCCATTACTACATTATATATGTTCAATCAAATCCTGAGATCATTGGCACCAAGTTAATTATGCTACTACTTACATGCACTTGCACCGCTGTTAATAACAACACGGAATCCATCAACGATGCCTTCCTTTTCAGCTACTATTTTCGATGCATGAAGAAGATGACCCAGTATATCTTCATGTCTTGGTTCAGCCTGGATGATATCAAGAAGAAGTAAATATTCCATTTGTTTTAATAATGGCCGACAGGACAAAGCATAGTTGACACAGGAAATAAGCAAGTATAGAGCAGTGATGTTGCTCCTAAATACTATAAATAAATAAAAGGATCGGTGTAAAAATTGTATACAGGAAGTTAAAAGAAATAACCTTGCCAAGCTCTGTTAACCCATCTCGGAGCTTTGGGATGACTAAAACATGAACAGGTGCTTGAGGATTAATATCACGAAAAGCTAGAACCTTTTCGTCCTCATAGATGATGGTGGAAAGGATCTCCTTTGAAATAATCTTGTCAAATCTGACACAAACTCAAATCTACGATGTTATATAAACTAGTCATCATGTGAAAGAAAAAAAGTATAAGTTACACAACCAGAAAACGAACATCATAACTTCGAGGGAATAAAACGTCTAAAACACAAGCCAAAAGCATACTAACAATTCTCAAGATTCATTTCCATAAAAAGCATAGTATTCAGGGTTGCCGAGAGCCCCACTATAGAACTTTTATTAGGAGCAGCTAAGCCCCAAAGACACTAAACGATCATTGAAGGTTTTTAAAACTGAAAAGTTTGTCACATATTAATATTCAAAACTCTAGCACATGATGTTCTAAAAAATAACAACATATGAAATCATCATTAAGCAAGATAAGGCCAATACATGGTTGGAGCTCCAGTGTTGGCTTCAGTTGCAGCTGCTTTAGCAGAAGCCTCTTCATCATGTGTTGCACTCACACGAGATATGGCCCTAGTGTTACACAAATAAGAAATTAAAAAAAGATAAGTATGATGTACAGACAGTTCAGGTAATTGAGGTTTGACAATGGAGTAAAGTATCGATCAGTTGTGGACAGAGCTACTGTTAATGTTTTGATAATTCGTGTCTTGTCCCTTCTCATTCCTCAATATTTGTAACAATACAATTTACATTTAGGTACCACCGACTATGCTAAGTATTGAAAATATAATACATAATAATATAGACTAATACACCCCCGCAGTCTAAGGTGGAGGTTCCCGTAAGCTTAGGCTGGATCGAAAATCATCAAAAAGAACTCGGGGTAGGCCTTTAGTGAATATGTCTGAAAAATTGTGCCGAGACGGTACATGAAGGACTCGAACTTGACCACGTTGCACTTTCTCGCGAACAAAGTGAATATCCACCTCCACGTGTTTTGTCCGTTRATGTTGAACCGGATTGCCGGAGAGGTAAACAGCACTGATGTTGTCTGTAAAAACGAGAGAAGCACGGCTGATAGGGCAATGTAGTTCAAGAAGGAGATTACGGAGCCAACAGATTTCGGCCACAACGTTGGCCACCCCTCTGTATTCAGCCTCAGCACTGGAACGGGAAACAACTTACTGTCGTTTGGAAGACCAGGAGATGAGGTTGTCGCCAAAGAAGATGCAATACCCAGATGTGGACCGTCTAGTATCCGGACAACTTGCCCAGTCAGCGTCTGTATAAGCAATAAGATTAGAGAGAGGGGATGCCTTCATCATAACACCCATATTGAGAGTTCCYTTGACATATCKCAGAAGCCGCTTTAACGCATGAAGWTGACCGGTCCGGGGGGCATGCATGTACATGCATATCTGCTGCACCGCATAAGAGATATCGGGTCTGGTAAACGTCAAGTATTGCAACGCACCTGCCAGACTTCGATAGGTGGTGGGATCGTCAAGAAGTTCGCCAGACGTGGCGCCTAGCTTACCAGCAGTGTCGACCGGGGTGAGGACCGGATTACAGTCATTCATCTTGGCACGAGCTAGTATTTCCTGAGCATATCTGGCCTGGCGAGTGCGACATATGGTTGGTGGCCCCCGTATCCATGTACCAGTTTTGATCCGGATTCAACGTCATAGTATGTAAAGCTTGTTCAATGTTTGTCGGAGCAAACGAGTAGTCTGATGAAGCATACGCTGCCGAAGGTCTTGGGCCAAGAACTCCAGGTGCATCCCTTGAATGGAGTCGCGACTGAGGTGCAACGGGGTACGGGCAGGGAGGCGCTGCCCACGGTGAGTACGACCATGAATGGTGTTGCTGCATCCATGGTGGTATAGGAGAGTACCCGACGGAGTTATAATAGGAGGGGATGTTCCTGCCACCAGACCGTCCACGGCCGCGGCCACGTCCACCACGACCACGGCCACGAGTGCTGTCCGGTCCGCGGTTAAGAGACCTGGTAGGAGGCTGATCGGGTTGTACCGTATCGGTAGCGGAGGCCGGCTGAGTGGAGGTCAACCCGGCGTGAAGGGCAGCAGGAGAGTCAGCCGCACGTTTTGCTTTGTTGCCTTCTTCGAGAACAAGTTTGGAGCGGACAGAGGTGAATGAAGGAAGGACGTCCGCTTGTTGTATGACCGTTGCAAAATTGTCATATTCGGGACTCAATCCGGCAATCAACTGTAGGACAAGGGTTTGGTCGGTAACCGGGGCATCCACATTGGCCAATTGATCGGCGAGGTGTTTCAACTCCTGACAGTATGCTGAGGCAGTAGTAAAAGAGGACTGCTTGGTATTGAAGAACTTGTTTTGAAGATGTAGTGCACGTGTAGGTTTGCTGTCCAGAAAGAGTCGCTCAAGAGCGGACCAGGCGGATGCGGTTGTATTATCGACCTTGAGAATAGTGGTGAGAAGGTCGGTAGAGATGGTGCTGTAAATCCATTGTAAGACGATGGCGTCCAGACGCGTCCATTCTTCATCATGGTCGGATGTGGTTGTAGTAGGCGGAATTATATGATCAAGAACCCGACAAACGGTGCACTGGACTTAAAACAAAGCAACCCAGGAATTGTAGTTGCTATCATCGGCTGTGAGGGTTATGGGAATTTGATTCCTGATGTTGGTGACAGTGGTGGCGAGGTGTAGAGGGTGAGCGACAGGTGTGTCGGTGGATTTGTCACTTGCTGCCATAGATGAAAAACCGAGGAGAAGAGAGGGAAGAGAGGTAGGGCCGGCTAGGGAAAAAATCACAGGGGGATGGTGATCGGAGGTAGGATCGGAGGTAGGGCCGGCTAGGGTACCCAGAGCTCTGATACCATGTTAATGTTTTGATAATTCGTGTCTTGTCCCTTCTCATTCCTCAATATTTATAACAATACAATTTACATTTAGGTACCACCGACTATGCTAAGTATTGAAAATATAATACATAATAATATAGACTAATAGCTACAAACTTTTTAAGGAGGTTGTCCATTCTGCTTTGATCATAAGGAATGTTGTTTAACCACTATCTGGATGCAATACTTTCACCACAAGTGGTCTTTTATAACTGAATAATACCTTTGCAGCCTCTTAAGTTTTATAAACAAAACTACTTGAAGCGCGTACTTAATTTTGTCATTCACAGCCAGGAAGAGCTACCGCACACCATACATCCAACCTAGACTAATTTATTGTGTAATGTCGACAGTCTTATACAACATGTTCACATTTTTATACAGGAACAAATCCCCCATTCCTAGTTATTCTCTTACCAATACAATTCAAACCATGACACTTGAAAGAAGTGATAATTCCGAAAGGTAAACACAAGAAAAAATACTGACTGCGAACCACTCACACCCAATGTTACAATGCACTTCAAGACTCACTTAGGCGCAAAGGATCACGCGGCCAGGCGCAGGGTACGGGCCTCAAGAATGCGAGGGGTATGTTGTCAAAAATAAAAAATATACACAAACACACGCAAGAAGTACAAGCCTCGAATGCAGCAACCAGCAATACTTCGATAGAGGCAGAAGGGAGAAGGGTTCAAAGCATGAGGGAGAAGATTTAAGGTCTATGTATTTATATAGGAGACTTGACGTTTTAAGGACCGGATAGTTAATAATAGGGTTTGACTTACCTATATAATACTCCCCCGACCCAAAAAAAGTGTCCACGACGAAAAAGGCATACAGTTTGGAGAAATGTAATTAATCTAATTATTACACTTTTAATGAACTAAATGATAGTGTTACCTTTAATAATAGAAAGAGATTAATTTCTTCATCCCATAACTAAGGGTAGAATGGAGAAGTATGCACTTATTTTTTTGAAGTGGACATTTATTTCGGGACAAACTAAAACAGAAATGTAGACACTTGTTTTTGGACAGAAGAAATAACTCTCTTTTTAAGAAGTGTAGTAGATGAGAAGATGAGAAAACTTGTTTAACATTAGGATTTGACTAGGCATCTAATAACTCTATGAGGTGCACCTCGGCCCACAAGGCCCCTCGGCCAAGGGACAGCGCCTTAGTGAGCCTCATGAATACGCGTAGCCTCGATTTTGAAACAGCCCAAGACCTTGAGGCTTATGAGCCTCAGAGCCTAGGCGTGCTTTAGGCGCTTTTAACAACTATGAAATGGAAGATGATTTTATTGCCAATTTATTCTTGATTTTCTTGTTGTCTTGTTTCATGAAAAAGTCTTGTTTCATGTTCTTTTTCAAACCCTCACCTTTTGCTATTTCTCTATTTCTTTGGGGAAAATTTCTACTTATTTTGCACACTTCTCACAAGCCTAGGGTCTTCAGGAAATAGCTGCTCTGCTCTTTAAGGGTAGAGGTCAGGTCAAGTCTACGTACATCTCCCTCCCTTCCCCCAAAAGACCCTACCTCCGGTTGGATATACCGGGCTCATTTGGTTTGGTTAACTACTTAAGTCCAGTTTGCATTGTCGATAACAAGGGTAGTTAAATTCACAGAACAAAAACTAAGGAGAACATAGAGAAATGAGATCAAAGAGACATACTATCAACAAGCTTCCTACTTAGAAGAAATAGTAAAAGTCATACGATACCATCAATCCTCAAACAAGTCTCACTAGCATACATATATAGAAAACAAAATCTTGTACTATCTATCGTATTTGCATGACATAATCTTGACAACAACTATCTTTATATACTTAAACCTCCAGAAAGATGTGTTTGAGGAGCTGAAAAATACCTCAGAAACTACAAATGACTTGTATATGAGCTGCTTGTAAAGTAGAACAAGCTGTAATTAAGCTTGATTTACAGGGTCATTAAGTACATAATCTGATCCGTAGCAACTTAGCGAGGCTGATGTAAGACAACCCTTACTAGGTCATAAATTCTCACATGACTATGGCTATAACCAAGCGTACTTCAATATAGTCCAATTTCAAAGTGGAAACATGTTTTCTTACCAATAATAATCATAATCACAGCAGTTAATGTTACATTGCTAGATTAAGAACTGAGGTCCAGCAAATAATGTAACTTCTAAGTTATTTTCATTGACCCAAAAGCAATTATATTAAAGATTGAACGGGCTGCAACACCCGCTGTCCAGATATAAACGTACCCCCAAAAGTTGCAATTTTTGTTTTCAAATTAAATTCCGTAATTAGGGAAAATGAAATGGTGTCATAGCCGAAAAAACACAAAAAACGAAAGCAGAGAGCCATGGGTGTAGATAGAAATAGATGCAGTAATCAAGCAAAAGGCGTAATGAATCAGTGGGTGCGTGATTGCATACCGGCGTGTACATTGGCGAATTGGGGGTTGGAAGCTTGACTGAATTTGACGAATGCGATTTAGTTGGTTGAAGGAATTGAAAGCTCCGAGTGTTAGGGCACTCCTCCTTTCATAATTAGGCACATAAATCAGAAAGAGAAGAAGCAAGAGATGAAGAGAAGGAGAGAGAGGTTTTACCGTAGCAGAAAGGAGGTAGAGGCCGCCATGGATGGGAAGGTCACACTCCTGATGAAGTATATCAATATTACTGAGGGGTGTTTGGTATGGCTTATAAGTTATTGAGTTATTCCGGTCTAAAATCAATAATAAGTATTTTTAAGTGTTTGGATAAATAATTTATATTTGTGTTAAATTGGAGATAAAGAGTTTTTAAAAAAATTAAACCAATCTAATTTATAATAAATTGATAAACATTTTTATAAAAAAAAGATAAGTTATTTCAAATAAGTAATCCTAAACATTCAAGTTATGTCAAAGAAAATTATTCAAGCCAACTATCACATATTTTTAAAATTATTTAAATAGACCATGTCCTTTTTATTTTTAGTCACATTTTCAACTTAATTATTAAATTATTCATTCTTTCTACTTGATTAGATGAAAAGGAATTTGTATAATGCATGCAGTGAAGTATATCTCAATCTTAATGTTATTTTTGTTTTTTTTTTTATCTATCAATGCTATTATGATTTTATATAGTTTTAAAAAAATAATAAATAATAATATTTTTATTTTTGAATCAAATATAAATTTTAAATATATATATATATATATATATATCGATATTAATGTCAAATTAACTATTTAAAAGTTGTTGTTTTTTTTTGTAATTTTTTTAAGGGCAAAATGCACAAAATAGCAATCTACTTTCATAATTTTCTTTATCATAGCATTGTACTTTCAGTTTTTCTTATTACAGCAATGTACTTTCAAACTATTTTTTATTAGGACATTGTACTTTGAAAAATTTATCCATTATAACATTGGGTAACATTTTGATTTAAATTTACCCACTATACTAGGTTTCCATGTCACTTCATTATCCACGTAGGATGTCCACATGTACTATAGTGATGTGACTTTCTTACTACATCATTGTACTTTCAAAATTATTTTATTATAACATCTATTAGTTCTTATTAAACACTGTATTTTTAATTTTAACATTTAGATATTTTACATGTTATTTAATAAATGTATTAAATGAATTAAAAA